AAAGACGCTCGGGGCCTATTGAACGCTTGCTCTCTGACCGTCTTGTGAAGGTGTTTGTAAGTGCAAAGCAAATGAGGAGCTGAGAAAGATCGGGCTTCAATTAAAAACGATCGTAAGTCCTTATATACAAAACTGCTCACAAATCTCAAAAATTTGTTGAAGCACAGGGCGAATACTAAAACCATCATGCGTGTCATTTCACAAAAGTCATTTAGATTTTTGACATTGTGTTGATTCAGACTAGACCAATATTAGTCATTTGACAGGCCAGAGAGGCACCAACGATTACAACACATAAACATGCAAATCTACCAAACCACATATACCGTAAAAGTGCAATGCATGCTGGTCTGGAGTACGAGTGGGCATTTATCTCTCTGTGTAGTGCTCCGATTGTGGATCGGGTCCAGAGGGGTCAGTGAGCAAGGGCTTTGATCCAGATTTTAAGCTTTGCCTCCCAGACACCCACTGAGTGCTCAACCAGCAGAATAAATGTGACCTGAAACTTATTTCCAGTCAAATCTATCTGCAGTGGAACATTTTTTTTCAGATGTGATATCAAAATCACGATATGTGAGTCAAAAAATATTTATGTTAGACTGTAGAATGATACGTTTAGAAACAGAGATGCTATCAACCACACAGTGTTGTTTGCTCTCAGCTACTGTATACAGATTAAATAATAATAGCAAAACTGCTGGCCATTGTGAAAATCACGTTACAGTTGAGGAACAGTCTTAATGAGTCTAAAAATCGAAATAAGTTTCACACAATAATTATTTAAAAGTAATATTAATATATATATTTTTTCTTTAAATATATGAGCTTACTTTTCGTGTTTTTGTTTTTCCATACAATTCAATGCAATGGAATATCAATTTAAATATATAAATTATCTGTATTCAAATGGAATAAGCATGGCCAGGGTTTAAACCGGGAAAGTGCTAAAACTACATGAAAACCCCATTTATACAGTAACTATTGTGCAATTTTAGTTATTTCAATTAAACCTTGCATAACTCTTAAAATTAGCCATTCTTTGATACTACAACTTTTATGTAAATAATGCCATTGTATGTAAAATAAATGCTTGTGTTTTTTTTGTTTTTTTTTCAATTTTGAATCAAAAAAAATTCTTTAAAATTTGACATATGATGCTATATTTGGCCCACAATTCTGGGAATGTTGAGTCTTTGAATCATTTACTCACACGATTCATAACAAAAACAGTCACAATATTAACGAAAACAAGTCTTAATATGATTTAATAAAATGTATGTGTGGCTCCAAAAGAGTGTTTAAGTATCCTACACATGACAATAAAACAGTTATCCCCTCCCCTCCCATAAAAGATTTGTAAAAAAAAACAACAAAAAAAAAACATGTAAGGTCAATTTTACTCTCAACAATTTTGGATTTCTGAGACATTCACAAAAAAGACGACGCAATATGGCCATTCAATTTCAACTTGAAATTACATTGTGAGCATTTAATTCATTTGGTAAATTTTTATTATTATTATTAAACAAACCCCTACGTGCTTTCAGCCACAAAGCCTTAGTGTGGTCTCATTAAATATTTAGCATTTAAAAGTCATGGATACTGACATGCTGCAGTAGAGGTAGAAAAAGTCTCAAATCAGTTCAAATGTAACCATATTATAGTGTGATATAGGTGGTCTTAAGAAAAAAAAAAAGATCTGTGCCATTTTCACAGTGTGCCGGGGAATATAAATTGCACACAAGTTTTCGTAGCAGCCCTTTGAACACTTCAGACTAGTAAAAGTCCTATGCGCAATAGATCTGCATTTGTTTATTGAGTGGCTGGCTGCTGAAGGGCCATTTGGTTCATTAAAAGCAATACAAAAATAAAATAAATTCCTACACTTGCATAAAAGGAGCTGTAAATTGTGCCTCTGCCACTGTAGTATTATGAAACTGAAAGGCATGACCGAATACTTCAAAAAACCTTCTGCTGTGTGAGTATTTCTATCCATTCTGGTAATGTAGTGCTGTGTCTCATACTGATTAACAACACACAGAACAAGAGAGCAGAATATTGTGAACACAAATTCTGGTATTAGCAACGATACTATCCACTAATTATCTGATTCAATTATATGGAAAATGATTATGTGGTCGCTTGACCTCCATTTCCATTGACTTAACAATAACTATATTATTACCCACACCCACACACAATAACTTTGTATTATAATTATGTCACCTGTCACTTTAAATGATTGCATTTTGATTGACTGTCAATGTTTTTTATCAACATTAAAAAAGAAAATGTTCTGAGTGTGATTACAACAATATCTTTCTTCTATGTTGCTATCATTGCAGATGTGGTGTGGATGTCTCTATTGTCAAATAATTAGAATGGTGATTCAAAATGTATAGTATTTATGTGTTTCAGGAAAACAAAAAGAAATTGTGAAGAATGTTTAACCATTTTTGAATTTACAGTAAAAGTCTTTTTGTATGTACATACTGTAAATACTTTTCACTGTTTTTTTTTTGTTTGTTTTTTACGGCGCATTATGTGAGTTTTTAGAGGCTGATTGCCCGGGCAGATTACTTATTATGAAACCAGGCAGCCAATTGTGACACCAGGTCAGCGATTGCATGTAAAATATGGCAGCCTATCATTTTACTTCTGCGTATTTTTGGGTTCAGTATATAATTCATTGTCTGTATGGCAGACAGATTTATGCTGAAATGAAATTCGGTGGACTGAGAAGGACAAAGCAGTCAATCACTGACATTTAGAAGATACAAATAAATAAAAAACACATCTGGAAAGTCACTAAAAGGGCTCTTCACAACATGACACGATGGAACTCGGATACTAGGATCAATTTATTTTCAGTAAGAAGGGAGACACTCGCATTTCTCAATATTCAATGATTATAATTCTCTGCCCTTCCTTGTCATTTAATCTAACGATTGTAAATTATTGCCAAATCACCCGGGTCCTAATAAGTGCGTGGAGTTTTGCCTCCCACTGGATATAGGCCGACATCAAGCTGTCCCTTCACTGTTAGTCGGCTTCTATTTAAATACCATGTCGCGTTTACAGTAATCTGGCCCTAATTAAAATGTATAGTCTGACAGAGTGCAGTATCGGCACATTCTGTGCGTCTTTCATGCCAGTGAGTGAATAGTTAATGGACGTTACGCTGCCTTGAGCTTTGGAGAGAGGGAGAGGGAAGCTGTGTCTGAAATACACTGCCTTCGCTGACAGTAGGCCTATATGGAATTAGGAAGGCAACAAGGCACATAAGTATACAGTATACATACACATTTATGTTAATATTGATTGGTTATTGCTTGCTAAGATCTGTGGTAAAAGTGGCGCCTGAAGGAACGGTTGAAAGGAGTAAATCAATTAATGAATGCGTTTTCATTTATTTCAACTCATGACTGAGAAATAAGCATTGCAGTCTGAATATTTGCTTGGAAATCTCTAAAGCTGACTTGAATTTATTGTACATTATTAGACATGGTGTTATTGGAAGACTGTCTGAAGGCAGCTACCTTAGAAGGTGCTTTCATACAAACACACTGCCGATCAAGTCAATGACTAACTGGGTAGCAAGACAGCTGTCTTTGGTTTTCAAACACAGGCAGAAAGAGAAAGCGAGATTCCCTTAAGTGCCTCAGCCACCTCGAGACAATGGAGAACATCTGGATAAAATGATTATTACTGTGTGAATCAGAGACTGCAAATAAACGTCAAATTCATGATAGGTGAATAGCAGGGTAAAAGGAATTAATCTAGGTGTGAGTGTGGGATAAAGAACTTTTGAATTCATTCAAAAGCTCCAACTCAATTCATTCGTGTATTGGACATCGCTGCTTCTTTCATGAACGCTCCATGTTAAAATTTTCAGTGAGAAACGACTTAAATTTTGACTTAAATCTTATGTTTCCACTTTTATGATATTTTAAAGATGATTTTGCATATTGAGGCTTAATATCTACCCATTCATTGTATTTGCATGGAAAAGAGCGATCATTTCACATTTTTTGGCCCATATATTCTTGTGGAAAATAGCTACGTTTTAGCTAATTCACTAATTCATTTTATGTAAGCTGCTCATGTCCCAATATTTTTTGCAAAATAATACAAATATTGAAAAAAAACAAGGTTATTTCGACATTTATCTCAAAATTCTGACTTTTTCTAAATATACATATGGCCAAATCATCATATTAGAAAGATTTGTGAAAGATCGTGTGACACTGATTACTGGAGTAATGATGCTGAAAATTCAGATTTGCATCACAGGAATACATTACATTTTAAAATATATTAAAATGGAAAAAGTTATTTTAAATTGTAATAATAACACACACACACACACGTATATATATATATATATATATATATATATATAAAGTCAAAATTGTAAGATGTAAATGTAAAGAAGAGAGATATAAACAAGTTTATAACTAGCAGCTGTGATAAATACATTTGCAACTGGAAGAATGAATAAATGAATGAATTAATGAATGAATGAAAAAATTTTTATTATGTGGCAGAAAAAAAAAAGAAAAAAAAAAGCTTCCATACAGTTAGGTTTAGGGGTGGACCTTATGGCCATAGTAGCCAGTTATGAGGTCACCAATGTTTCATGTTCAAAAATAAATTCGTTAAAAAAAAAAACCGACACCTCCTAAAATAGTTACACATTCGGTTTGGCTCTATTTGGATGGGAAACTAGGCTATTTTGTGGCATAATTTCACTTAATAATATTGACATCTATTGCGCACGCAAATTGATAATCATATGCGCACGCAAAAGCGAGCTCTTATCCTTAAACAGAGATGGGGAAGTTAAAATGTAAGTGTCATTCCACCCCAGCCTGTAATGTCTTTACTCAGGACAGTGTGGGAGGACCGAGAGAGAGAGAGAGAGAGAGAGAGAGAGAGAGAGAGAGAGAGAGAGAGAGAGAGAGAGAGAGAGAGGGAGAGTGAACAGACCATTACCAGCGCATAGAGAGAGGTGCAGTGAACAGATCATTACCATCGCAGTTTTCCTCTGTAAACATCTCTCGGAATTAAATCGGCAAACTCTTGTGTTTCGCTTTCACGAAGTATGATGATATGATACGCAGCGACGTGGATGTTTTTGGGGCTTTTTTTTCGCGGAGTTTACCGACTCCTTGAAAAAGTGGATTTTGCAAATGTGAATTTGGTGTAAATTAAAGGTTTAAAGGAGGGCTCAGCCGCGAAGAGAGGAACGGAGGGAGTCGCTTCGGTAAAAAGTAGTGAGCGCGGACACTGAGCTCTCCAAACGGGAGTCAGTATGCTGTCCGGAGGAGCCGCGGGCGGAGAGGAGCTCGGAACCGATTCGGTTGAACAGCATGTTATGGGAATGGCGTTGGATCTGTACGTCCCGTCTATTCCACCGAGCGCATGAAGAACAAGAAGAGAGGGACAAATGTTCAGTGTGCTTTAGGTATACGGATTAAATCATGTTTGATAAGGTAGGCTGATTTTATTGGAGAGAACTGCATTCATTCTGCTGGATGAAGTTCATTTACCCGTCTAAATGCAGGAACAGTTTAAGTTAAAAGGGCACGACTACTTGCAAGTTACATAGTTTCCAGGCATTTCCGAAACTATTCTGCTGTATATGGGCTTTTACTTTTCCGGAAACTGCTTAGTTCGTATGTTAGACTAAGGCTTGTCAGCATTTCATCATCTCAAATAACATATGTAGGGTAAATAGTGGATAACCAAAGCGGTTTATCTGGTCAAACATCAATGCGTATCATAGCATCGTTTCTCTTTTACTTATGCTCTGCTCTCAGCATAGTGATGCATTCACATCATCAGCTTGCTGCTCTCTCAAGTTCACCTTATCCGCCTCGAAATGTCTCCTACGATATAAACTTTCAGTGTTGTTTTGTCTTTTCGCATTTTGTTTTGTCTGCGAACATGCGTTTTGATTAAGACACACTGTAAAAAAAAAAAGAAAAAAATGTTGCATTTAGCTGTGGTTGTTATACATTCGCTGTAGCTGATAAATAGTATCTCTAAGCAGCGTAAAAATAAAAGGTGGTAAAATGGAAGACCACGATGTAACAACGTTCAGCAAAACTGGCCTTTCCATGAACAATCGCCAATAAACAATATAGACAGAGATATATTGTCTATATTGACACCCCGCCCCCAGTCTTATAATACAGTCTGGCAATGTATTTTATACTGTTTTTCTCCAGTCACTATTTTATAACTTAACTTTAAAACAATATATATATATTTAATATAAAGTATATATATTGGCTTTAATGGTTCAATGAAGAACCTTTATGAATGATGATGAATAGTTTGCTGTAAACCTCTTTATACTCATGATTATGCAATTGAATGTGATTTCAAATATGGTTTTGTCAGATCTAAACTGATTTTTATTAGGCCTGTTTTCTGCTAATGTATTTTTTCTATATTTAAATCACATCTGTCATATAGCTTGCCTCTTAGGAAAGACAAGCATTCTCTTGCCAGGCATTGATTGTCTTAACTCTATTAACAAAGCAGATGGTACAGGCCACAAAAGCAAACATCCAATGCAGAGGTGTTCGCTGTAGGCTCAAGATGCCAAGAAGTTTGTTATTTTACAGTGACAATGAAGGCGCACAAATACAAACAGGACCGATTGAAACGTTTTTAATTCACAAAATGTTAAATGTCAACAAAAGCCTTTTTTTCCGTCCCCCGGGTTAGGAAAAAAATAAAAAATAAAATAAATAAATAAAAAACCTTTCCTCCAGTGTTGATTAAAGGGCAGCAGCTGCCTTATTTAGAATGTTTATTTAGTTTATTTAGATCAAAAATGGTGCACATTTAGCTTACTTTTATTTATTTTTTTTTAATCTCAACTTGAATTACACTATAAGTAAAAGAAGTCTGAACAGTAGATTCATTATGAGTTCTGAGTATGATTCTGAGACCTCGAGCTAAGCACAAAACCTATTCGCTGAGAGAGAACAAAAAAAAAAAAGTATTGATCATTTATTGCAGGTAGAGGGGCTAAATTATACCCCAATCCCATTTAATTTGACAGGTAGTATTCGTAACTCTGAATTGTGTATGGGGCATGCATATTCTATGATGCATAGTAAAGACGCTTGGGGGGGGGGTTGCCCTACTACATTTTTTTTTGTGAACCCACACTTTTTTATTCTAATTTCTCCTTCTTTTTAAACAGATCTCTGGACCCAAATGTCACATCTTCTGGAAACAGCTTGGGCTGAGGCCCATCAGCACTTGACAGCAGGCTGGGAGGTGGACGGTGTGGCTCAGTGCTTCAGCACTCTCTCAGTCACACCCTGCTTGGGCCCTACAGTGAGCGAGAGCAGTTCTGCAATGATCTGATTCCTCAGCATGGATAGCTTAAGTGAGAGAACCCATGCACTCTAATGAGACCACCTCTCCAGACAAGGGCTAGAAATTATCAAGGGATTACTCAAATTCCTGGTTTATCTGCGACCTGCATGTTAAAATAATATTTTAGAGGACTTAATTTTGCTGGATTTGTTACATTTCCTTTTTACTCCCTCCAACCACTGATTTTGTCTTGCAATTTCCTTTCCCTCCCTTTATTTTCCGTTATGGAGTTTCAAGTTGGATTTTGGAATAACCATTGTACTTCATTTTTTCGCTTTTGGTTGACAGTATTGTTGAGCTTGCATGTGCAGTTCAGCCCCGTCTCATCTTGTCCCAAGGAGTGCCGCTGTGATAGAACATTTGTTTACTGTAATGAGAGGAGCCTGACGTCTGTGCCTCTGGGGGTGCAAGAGGGATATAAAACCCTCTTCCTCCACAACAATCAGATCAACAATGCCGGCTTTCCATTGGAGCTACACAATGTTGCCTCTGTAGAAACTGTTTACCTATATGGAAATCAGCTGGATGAATTTCCCCTCAACCTTCCCAGGAATGTTCGAGTGCTGCACCTCCAGGAAAACAACATCCAGACAATATCCAGGGCAGCACTTGCCCAGCTACCCATGCTGGAGGAACTCCATCTGGATGACAACTCCATCTCAACTGTAGGGGTAGAGGAGGGGGCTTTCAGGGAGGCTGTCAGCCTCAAGCTTCTTTTCCTTACCAAAAACCACCTGAGCAGCATTCCTATCGGATTACCGGCAGATCTCAAGGAGCTGCGTTTGGATGAGAATCGCATTGCCGACATTGACGAGGATGCCTTCCAGAATGTCACCACCCTGCAGCGACTTTTGCTGGATGGGAACTTGCTTGAAGATGATGCCATCGCTCCTGGAACCTTCCAGGACCTGGTCAACCTTAAAGAACTGTCCCTGGCACGAAACTCCCTCACTACTCCACCACCATTGCTCCCTGGTGCATCCCTGACCAAGCTCAACCTGCAGGAAAACCAGATGGACACCATTAAAGTGATAGCCTTCAATGGGCTTAGTAAACTGGAGAAGTTAGATATCTCCAGCAACCAGCTTCAGTTTCTTGCACCGGGTGTCTTTGATGGCTTGAGAAACCTGAGGCACCTTAATGCAAGAAACAACCTCTGGCGTTGTGATTGCAGCATTAAGTGGGTCATTGCATGGCTCAGGTCTCTGCCATCTGCGATAAATGTCCGTGGCTTCACGTGCCAGAGTCCAGAAAGAGTGCGTGGCATGGTGATTCGAGAACTCACCTTAGATGCCATTGACTGCCCAGCAGGCACCGTGCTACATCCCTGGCCAACCCATTCATATCCATCTACATTGCCACCCCGCAGAACCACCACCATCACCACGACCACCTCCAGAACCACCCACTTCACTACCATTTCACCCTCTGCTTTTTACCCCGCCTCTGCCAACCCCACACCCCCAGTTCCACATTTCCCTCCCGGTCCCCTGCCTCCTTACGAAGACCCCTTAAAAATCTCCTTTCATGTAGTTAATTCTACCTGCATTGATGTGAGCTGGGAGTCTTACTTCACTGTGACGGCTTACAAAGTGACTTGGGTCAAGATGGGGCAGAGTTTGATGAGTGACATCACTCGAGAAAGAACAGTCCCGGGATACCAACGAAGGCTTAGCCTGTCAAATTTAGAACGCAGGTCTATCTACCGCATCTGCGTGTATGTTCTGGATACTCTTAACACGTACAGACCAGGCGAGGATACTATCTGTTCTGAGGCTAAGACCAAATCCACATCCACATACTCTGAATCTGAGCAGGCTGCCCAGCAAGACAACACCTCCACACTCCTATTGGCTGGAGTGATAGGTGGGGCTGTATTGGTGGTCTTGGTGACACTTCTAAGCTTGTTTTGCTGGCACATGCACAAGAAAAGCAGGTCGTCATCGTCCAAATGGAAATACAATCGCGGCAGGAGAAAAGATGACTACTGCGAGGCCGGGACCAAAAAGGATAACTCCATCCTGGAAATGACTGAAACAAGCTTTCAGATAGTGTCACTAAACAATGAGCAGCTTTTAAAAGGGGACTTCAGAATTCAGCCCATCTACACACCTAATGGAGGGATTGGCCTCAGAGACTGTCACCTTAGTAACAACAGCATAGCTTACTGCAAGAGCAGTAATGTTCCCAGTGTGGACTTCTGCCACACATGATGCTTTTTGACGGATGCTACAACCATTTGTTCAAAGAAAATGCAGTTCAATATACTGTAAAATACACGTATGTATTATATATATATATATATATATATATATATTTCCAGGTGCAGTCAACATGGTAATTTATACTGTGGACAAGTATGTGGAATTCTGCTCTATTTTCTATTCTTAGTAAATATGAAATGGTTTTGTAATATGTGAGGCTCAAAGTGGTTTCGCTCAAGGACGCTGTAGATGTTTTGTATTATCGAAGCACGTTGGCTACCTGCTGCAAGTGCAGTCCACATGTTTTGCCTCTCAACCACTTTAAGATCTTGAAAACGTTGCTAACCACACAACCAAAATATGCCATTTGTGCTGAAATACAGCTACCCCTTCACACAACAGTAGTTAAGATAACACACTGGTCAGGAAACCAAAACACCGCTGATTAGGCTGTAGTAGAAAAAAGGAGCTGAGTTTTTCTTTCTTTCTTTCTTTCTTTCTTTTTTTTTTTGGGGGGGG